CAAATTGTACTACATTTAGTACTTTTCGTATAAATACATAAATGAGAACGAATTTCCTAAACTACTTCAATAATACACTCCAACACTCATTTTAATTCCCAATTTCAATACTCCAGTTCTATCTGCTCACTAAATCCAACTTTAACCAAATTTAGTACCATTAAGTACTTTTCGTACACATAAGTACGATTTTTTAAAACTACCTCAATCCTTTACTCCACTAGTAATCCTAATTCCTGTTTTCAGGATTCCATCTCTATAGGCTCAATTAAATGGAAATAGTAACAAATTTAGTACCATTTAGTACATTTCATACACATAAGTACGAATTTCTAAACCATTTCCATACATCAACACCACTTCCCAACCTGTATTCCATATAAAATTTCAAGATTCTAGCTATATATGTTCAATATATGTAAAATTAGTACTAAATTTAGTAATGTTTAGTTCTTTTTGTACACATATAAGGGAATTTCCAAAACCCTTTTGTACATCTTTCTAACATTCCATCAGTGACCCACATTCCAAATTTCAGAATTCTAACTCTTCCCGTTTGCTAATACAATGGGTACCATATTTAGTACATTTCAGTTCTTTTCGTACCCTTCTAGTTCGAATTTCTAAAAAAAAACACCCTTATTTGGGTGTGTCAAAATAAGGTTTTTTTTATTTGTCAACACACACTCAAAATTTCAAGCTTCAGCCGGTTCGTATGAGCGATGATCTGTCAGTGCTCTATATATTAACTTTTCTCCCATATCCGACCTCTTGCCTTAATGGGATTGTTATTATATCATTTCCAGTTAATTTTTCTTATACGGGTAAAATTTCCGGATTATGTTTTCCCGTAGTGAACATTTATGCAATAAGATTCAAATTTTGTCAGTTTTCGCCAACAATTTTGCTTCATTTATTTATCCATCATTTCCAAAATAGCCATCTTAATTAGTTGGTTTCCATGTCGAAATTGAATCGAATTACGACATCCACAGCAATAGGTGTCGCCCTTAACCACAACCGGAACTTAATATACAATTTCTTGGCGCGACATTATCGCCCTCTAGTGTATTAATCGAAAACTGAATAATATCAGAACACGTAGACACCTGTGAATATTCGAGTACATAAATATATATTATTGGTATCAATTTAAAGGTGAAACACTCGTCTTGCATATACTGCCTACTTATCCTGCCTACGTCCTTCTGGAGTAAATATATACGACATAGAATACATATTTTTGTTATTTTCACACAAAAATGGGTCAAATTGACAACCGCTATTAATCGCTCATGAATGCTCATGGCGAGAATTTGAATGTTTTCAATTTATCGCGAATGATAATGTTACAATGAATGAAGAAGCATTTGTAATCCCTCGCGAATGTTCACATTGTACAAAAAATTCACGAACGTTAAAATTTCGCTGCAAGCGTCGTCGATTCGTTCGTTCGCTAGCATTTGTTGCTGAAGAACATTCTTTTGAAAAACTCAAAATACAAATGTTTGCGAAAGCTCGCGAGCGCTGATAAAAACAACAACAAACAAATAAATCAGAACGGATTTGAGTTTAATTTGGTAATTTATTTTCTCTAAGGATAAAAAACAACTTCACTGCTATTATTCGGTAGAACGAATCATTATCATTGAGAAGTCCAGTAGCTTCCTGATCACAGACGAATCAGACAAGTCGACAGAGGTCGTCAAGAACGGTGCAAAAGGATGCCGACAAAGGCGAACTGGTCAGGAGAGCATATCTTCACACATACTGCTATTACCAGAGATATATCGATCAGGATGCAGTAAATTCTGCTAACTCCTCACTGGAACATCGGAATCCGGAAATTCCAAGGGTGTTAGAAAGAGTAGATGTCTGGCTCTCGCATGAACTAGGAATATTGACTTCGCTCAAAAATTACCAAAATGGCGGACCTTTGATTTTTTTTTTTTAATTGGCCTATTTTTGACCACAAGCTAAGTTAAAAAATAAGGAAGTTCTTTACCGATTGGATTTATCCAAGTTCATATGATAGCTATACACTCCCAAAAAGAAACGTGTCAAAATTTGGATTATTCGATTTGAGTTATCGTGTCTGCCATTCGTAAAAACACTGCTTCGAGAAAAGTGCGTTGAAAGTTTGAGAATCACTCTTGCCGTCACTAGATGCTGACACAATAAATCGGCTATCTTCAAGAGTTCTTGAGATTTTGTAGGGACATTCTTGAACTAGGGTAGATTCGAACTATATTTTAAAAAAATGGGACACCGGCAATTGGATGTCCCCTTAAATCGAGCCTCAATTCAACAGAACAGTTAAAATCCTTTAAAAAATCGGGCTTATACCGATTACTTGGAAAATATGTATATACATTTATTTTTAAATGAACGCTTATTAAAAATCCATTAAAAAATATTCTTAAAAAATGCTAGGCTTATACCGAGAATGACTCTTAACCCTTTAAGCCCCGATTTTTTTCTTTTATCTATAGAACTATTTTCAACCCATATCTAAGAAAATGCTTGAAATATGTCAATGCCGCCTTGATAAATGTTTTCCTAATTAGTGAAAACAAACATCAAGTTTGGTTTTTAATAAATAATTGCAATGTTGAAAATTTAGTAGTAGAAAATGTAGCTCTGATTATAAAAATGTGATTTGAAATTTTTTAGCACAATAGTCGAACATTTTTGCAAAATAGTCGAACACTTGGTTTTTCTCGAATATAAAGATGTTATATGGTTTTCTTGTTTTCTTTAACAAAAATATACGTTTAGAAGTAATTATAATCGGTGATTTTTAATTTTTATTCATTTTTGAAGCCGATAATTATTTTTAAATAAAAATATTCAATGAGGACGAGATCGAAACATGGGCGCATTTAATATGCGAGGTGGTATTCGATATGCGAAATTACAGTTTCCTCGGTTGGATAATGAAGCAAGGACCTACAAAATACCGCGAATGGTGCGGCACCCTTAAATATGGGCTATTCAAATACATTAACCCATATATTTTTGAATTCATTGTTACCCAAGAGTGCAATAAATGGAAATTTATCACAACCAATGCACAACCTACCTTTAACTTACTGATCGTCATTACCCACACATACTGGTCCACATTACCCGCCAAGTTATTTTTATTCGCAGTTTAGAGTTTTTTGAAATATAATGCAATAACATTTTTATAGAGAAATATAAATAATATTTGAACTGGAATATATTTAGCCAACAAATCTACTATGTTGTGAAAAGAATTTGTTTTTATTTTTTACCGTAACAACGGTATCAAAAAAGGACAATGGTGGTCCACATTACCCGAAGTTACTCTACTCTAATTGGTACTGTACACATTTTTGCACTCATCTATATATTGAAAAGCGTATAACTTGACCAAAAATACATTGAGCAGCTATTGGTTTTTGAAGGACTTTTACTAGTTGGGAACATATAATAAATTAATGTTTTTTGCCCACAATGCGTTTTTAACCCCAAACCTAATTTATTCCTTGTCATTTCTATTTGGTTGGTTGTGGTCATACATTACAATATTTTATTAAATATTTATTAATATTACTTCTTAACGCTCAAGAATATTAAGACTTTGCGAAAAAAATAAAATATATTACCTAAAATGACAATATTTTTTAAATTCGTCAGAGTTGCATATGTTTTGGCGCAGCTAAAATCGAGTTATCCATTTCGTCAATACATTTTACAGCAAAATATCAAAAAATGCTAGGAAAAATTACATTTGAAGTTTCAATTAAACCTAAAACATTGAAAAAATAAAAAGTTGAACTATTTTTCAATTTCAGTTGCAAATGTTTTGACCACTAATGTATATTCAATTTCCTTGACAACCAATCCTAAACTGTAAGGCGTTTAATACACGCTATAATTATCTTCTATTAGTAGTCAATTCTCTTGTACTACTACTATTTTTTTATAAAATCCGCGAATTTAGTAGCTTAACGGCCACCAACTTCTTTAATTCATTCGGAATGATACCCGTGCTTCCTAATCACAAGACCTTTTTAGATTACGATATTTTTTAAAAACATTTTTAGGACTCACCATTTTTAATCAAGGGCAAGAGATCATTGGTTAGAAGCTTTGGTGAGCCGAAATGTGGGTTTCTACCTTATGAAATCCTTCAATATAATACCATTAAGGACAGCAATCCCTCAATTCATCCGGAATTATTCACTGATTTGTCAATGATAAATTTTATGACCAGACTTCCTTATTTCACAACGGATTCAAAACCAATTATCAAGAAAAACACAAAAATAAAATTATTTTTTTTTTATATCTATGACAAGTTTTTCAAAAAATATTTTAAATCGATTCAAAAGACACGATTTAAAGATTCACTTGTTAACGTACATGAACCTGTTTGTAAGCTAATCATCCACAGTGAATGCTCACAAAAAGCAACAACACAAAAGAAACAAATAAAAATGTAAACAAACCTTCAACGAATACAGCTGTACGAATGTCAGTACAAAAGCTACCATCAAAATTGCCGACAGAGGAACACGTCAGTTGAATTGCTGGCAGGCAGTAGAAGCACGATTATTTTTTCGTACCTGGGATTCTAGAAACTGAAAAACAATTCAAAAGGTAATATCATTGAATGGGAGCCCAGTGCAGGAAAACTCCCCCAATAATAAAAATAAACTCGACTAAATTCTTATCACAAAAAAAAACACAAGAAAAAGTATGTGCATGTGTAATGATATAAACAGAAAATTTGTGTACCGCCTCTCATCATACAAACGACAAATGCGAGCACAAATTTGCAAAAAACATATTGAAACAACAAAAAAAAGAGAAGAGAAAGTTTTCCGGCAAAAATAACCTAACATCTCAATTAAATAAATTAAATTTTGATTTGAAAAGTTTTTCAATCGTTGAAATAATTTGTTGGTTTAAATTTTTTAGGTGACGAAAAATTGTTGGTGAAAGGAACTGAACAACACCTTCTCAAACATGATGCCGAAAAGAAAGACCACGTCATGTTGGTCTATGGCTGTAATTGCCTGTCTCCTCTTTGTTGCCGCCACTCACCTACGTGGCGCTCAAGCAGCTGCCGTAATGTCTGTCGACTTGGGTTCCGAATGGATGAAAGTCGGTATTGTATCACCCGGTGTACCCATGGAAATTGCCTTGAATAGGGAATCGAAACGTAAGACCCCTGTGACATTGTCCTTCCGCAATGGTGTACGTTCATTTGGTGAAGATGCTGTCACCGATGGCATCAAGGAACCTGCTTCGGCCTATAGTTATCTTTTGGATTTGTTGGGTAAACAAATTGATAACCCCATTGTGGATTTGTATAGGTGAGTAAAAAGGGTGAGGAAAATTTTATTGTGGGGAAGGTGTTAAAAAGTAGGATAAATAATATTATTAAACATTGTAGGTATTAGACAATGGTTTCATCAAAACAAATCATTTCAATATCCATGATTTACACCCCTCCTAGGCTAAACTCAACTCCTTGTAGAGAGATTATTATAAATCAAAATATTGTTCTATCATATAGTTAGATTCTTTAAATTTCTTTGACTACGATTATAATTTAGGGTGGAATCTTTTTGTTTTGTATGATACGTCGCTCGACATCTAGATTTTTCATACGATAAGATACGGACAAGATCGTTCAAATAAAAATATTTTCTATAGGATTTATCTGTTTTTTTATACTGAATAGGTATATGCATTGCTCTGTTCCCGAATTTGCATTAATCCACTATTAATCTAAACGGCACTATGATCAGATATATAAAAAGCTTTCATTGAACATAATTCAATTCTTTTATCCTACAGCATTATTTTATTCATGTCCACGTGTACGACTGTCTACGTACTTCACCATCATAATAACAGATTTTAACAATAACTGAATTGTTACTGTAAGGTTATATTTGCATAGAACCTGTTTCGAATAAAACACAGCAGTTATATTGACAATTGCCTTGATTATATGGTTCCGTGTTGTATGACGTATGTACTCAGTTGGTTGCAAAATGTCAAATAAATTGCAAAATCGTTCACCACTTTACAAAACAAAGCCGTTTCTTTTTGATGAAGTATTTTAAGCTCTGACATTTAAAGATCTACTATTCATTTTTAAATAATTTGGAACACTGTAATATTAGGTTAGAGGAATCAGTCGCTCCACTCAGAGACCAATTGCGATACCCATTGTGATATTCCAAAAATACGTCGTAAAGAGAGAAAGATGAAAAAGAAACAATTAAAAAAGTGTTAGTTGGTGCTGCCGTTGTGTACCGAATTAATTTTTATCAAAATTTTAACTATTTTGTTGGGTGGCACTAGAAGGAGTGAGCCGATGATTCCCATCTTCTAACTTGAATTAAGTTTGAAACAAAAATTATATGCGTATATTTGGCATCGAATCGGATATTCCACACCATTGTTATGGGATTAACAAATCTTCAAAATTTTGAACCATTGTAGGAGAGGTACTAGAAGGAGTGGACCGAAGGTTCTCAACTTTAGATTTGATCTAGGCTAGGTAACAATATTACGATATGCAAAGTTGGATGAAATTTGCCCCATAGGAGATTTACAAGTTTTCGAAATTACGACCCTTTGTGAGCGTCATAAAGAGTGAACAATTTGCAGGCAAGACTAAAATATTAGGCTGTGCATAGTGTGATTTGAATCGGATGGTTTTGTCGCATGATATGCATTTTCAACTCAATTTTGACCATTTTGTGGGTGAGGTACCGAAAGGCGTGAAACGATTTTCCCCATCTTCAAACATAATTATAACCTTGCAAGGTATTATGTCTTTGTGCATATGTCTGTAACAGGCAAAACGAAACGAGATAGACCCATGTTTCCTTTTGAGAATATGCATAGAATCACTTTCTAAGTCGATTAACGCATGTCCGTCCTTCCGTCTGTACAGTCGCATTTAAAATCCAATTTGAATGAAATTTGATGTAAATGGAGCCCCAAACTGAACATATTTGCCCGATTGGGACAAGATTTTGTACAGTGTTCTGAATTCAGTCCAGTTTGACATCTGTGATGTTTTGTTGAAATCGGTCCAGATTTAGATATAGCCCCCATATATAGTTCCGTCCGATTTTAGGTAAATGGTGCACCAAACTGAAAATATTTTCCCGATTGGGACAAAATTTTGCACAGTGTACTGAATTCAGTCCAGTTTGACGTATGCAAAGTTTTGTTGAAATCGGTCCAGATTTAGATGTAGCTCCCACATATAGTTTCGTCCGATTTTGCCCGATTGAGGCAAACTTTTGCACAAGGTAGTGAATTCAGTCCAGTTTGACATCTGCGAAGTTTTGTTGAAATCGGTCCAGATTTAGATATAGCTCCCATATATAGTTTCGTCCGATTTTAGGAAAATGGTGCACCAAACTGAAAATATTTGTCCGATTTAGACAATATTTCTAACAGCGTACTGAATTATGTCCAGTTTGACGTATGCGAAGTTTTGTTGAAATCGGTCCAGATTTAGATGTAGCTCCCACATATAGTTTCGTCCGATTTTAGGTAAATGGTGCACAAAACTAAAAAAAAAAAATTCCGATTGAGACAAACTTTTGCGCAGGGTACGGAATTCAGTCCAGTTTACCATCTGTGAAGTTTTGTTGAAATCGGTTCAGATTTACATATACCTCCCACATATAATTTTGCTGGATTTCATATAAATCTGCTGGATTGACATGCATTTTTTTATAGAATGGTATGTGTATGATTTTTTGTTGGTTCAAATATCTATGTAGATCACATTTTTTCACCCGATTCCATTTTAATGGTCATCCAAAGACGCTATATACTTTCTATCAACAGGAAATTGTACACAATATCATCTTTTGTATGTACCCAAAGTGGTAAAGGGTATCATATAGTCGGCTCCGTGCAACTTTTGATCTTTCTTTACTGGTATGAGTTTCGAAATAAATTTTACGATATGCACAATTTGCAGCTATTAGCCTAATATTGGATGTAAAAATGGTAATTTTGGCCCTTTGGGGGAGGTGCGGTACTAGCACATATACGCTAATGCGGTACTCGCACATATACGCTAATACTCCACTTCAAAAATTGGTAATTTTAAAAAGAGAGACATTATCCAGCAATGATCCCTTTTAGAGCCGCCGAGTCTGCTTCCCGGAATACAAAATTACAGCCACATCGGGCGGCTAAAACACTCATAATACCAAAATGCCGAAAAGAGGAGCAGACATTTTCTGCCCATATGTTTTTCACAATCAAAAAAAAAAAAAATAGTAATTACAGGCCGCACTTCGATTGGAAATGCGGTAAATAGGGCGGAAATAATCCCAAATTCAAATTTCAGGATTCCAACTCTATAGGGTCACCATGTTGTACTAAAAAGTCGGTTCAATCACAATTCAAATTATACCAAATTTTGTACACATTAGTACGAATTGTACCAAATTTAGTACCGTTTAATAAAATCGAACGAGGTTCATTAGTTTAATACACGAAACCGATATTCGTATTTTAGACGTACATTTCAACTTTTACCCGAACTTTGCTCAGAAAATGTTAAAACTATAGAAAATTTTATTGATAATCAAATTGTAATCTTGTAGCGATCGGTGGACGCACCATCGGTTAGAAGTAGTAAGAAAACAAGCTTTCGAAACAGACTAGAGACCAATAGGATTTAAAATTAATTTAAAAAATGTAATTCCTCCGGTGTCTTCAGCATCAATAATTAATCTCTTATTCTATTCTCTTACAGAAAACGTTTCCCCTACTATAATATTATTGCCGATCCTGAACGTAATACAGTGATCTTCAAGAAAAGTGATACCGAAGAATTCTCTGTCGAAGAATTGATTGCACAGATTTTGGTTAAAGCCAAGGAATTCGCCCAGGAGGCAACAAATCAACCCATCACTGAATGTGTTATTACCGTGCCGGGATATTTCGGTCAGGCCGAACGTGAAGCCCTATTGACATCTGCTCAATTGGCCAATTTGAAGGTGCTGCAATTGATTAACGATTACACCGCCGTTGCATTGAACTATGGTGTTTTCCATCCCTCGGGTATCAATGAAACTGCTCAATATTATGTATTCTATGATATGGGTGCTAGTCACACTTCGAGTGCCGTGGTAAGCTATCAATTGGTTAAGGATAAACACACCAAGGAAACACACCCAGTTGTGCAGGTGTTGGGTGTCGGTTATGATCGTACTTTGGGCGGTTTGGAAATTCAATTGAGATTGCGTGACTACTTGGCTGCCGAATTCAATGCCTTGAAGAAAACTACCACCGATGTCACCAAGTCACCCAAAGCCTTGGCCAAATTGTTCAAGGAAGCTGGTCGCTTGAAGAATGTTTTGTCGGCCAACAATGATCACTATGCCCAAATTGAGAACTTGATTGAAGATCAAGATTTCAAGTTGCAGGTTACCCGCGAGAAATTGGAGGAAATTTGTTCTGATCTCTGGCCCCGTGTTATCAAACCCTTGGAACAAGCATTGTCCACATCTGGTTTAAGTTTGGATGTTATTTCCCAAGTAATCTTGTTTGGTGGTGGCACTCGTGTTCCCAAGGTCCAGGAGACATTGAAACAATATATCAAGCAGGAATTGGGCAAGAGCTTGAATGCCGATGAAGCTGCTGCTATTGGTGCTGTCTATAAGGCTGCCGATTTGGCTACCGGTTTTAAGGTGAAGAAATTTATTGTCAAGGATGCCGTGCTCTATCCAATTCAAGTCACCTTCGAACGTGATCCTGGAGAGGGTGCTGAAGTGAGACAAGTAAAACGTGTTTTGTTTGGCCTTATGAACTCGTATCCACAAAAGAAGGTGATTACCTTTAACAAGCATACCGAAGATTTTGATTTCTTTGTCCATTATGGTGATTTGAATCATTTGAGTGCTGAGGAACAGTCCTACGTGGGTAGCTTGAAGATTTCCCGTGTTGAATTGCAAAAAATTAAGGAATTACTGGAGAAAACCAAAAATGAATCTGTCGATGCTAAGGGCATCAAGGCCTTCTTTACCTTGGATGATTCCGCTTTGTTCCGTTGTACTGGTGTGGAATATGTCTATGAAAAGCAAAAGATCGAAACTGAGGAAGATGATGAAGGCACCTTGGCCAAATTGGGAAGCACAATAAGTAAACTATTCTCCAAGGATAAGGAAGAGGACAAGAAGGAGGAAGGTTCACAAGATGGCAATGAAAATGCAACTGAGGGTGAAGAAGCCACCGGTGGCAAGGATGAGGAGAAGAGCAAAGAACAGGAGAAAAATGAAACTAAGCCCACTGAGGGAGAGGCTCCCAAAAAGAATGAGACCATTAAAATTGTTACTGTCAAGGAGCCAGTGGCCCATAGCCTAACTGTGCAATTCACTCAACCGCTGAGTGGCAAATCCTATGAAAAGGCTGCTGAAAAACTCAATGCCATCAATAAGGCTGAAAATCTTAGAAATCAATTGGAATCCTCGTTCAATGCCTTGGAGTCACACATTATTGATATACAACAAAAATTGGAGGAGGAGGAATATTCCTCATGTGCCACCAAGGAGGAAAAGGAAAAGATTTTGGCAGAATGTTCCGCTGCCTCAGATTGGCTATATGAAGACATTGAAAATCCCACCCCCGAAATGTATGAAAACAAATTGAAGGCTTTGAAGAAGTTAACCGATGTCTTTATGGCCCGCCACTGGGAACATGAGGAACGCCCCGAAGCTCTTAAGGCTTTGTCGAAAATGATTGAGGGTGCCGAAGGGTTCCTTAAGAGTGCCAAAAACTTGACCAAAGAAACCAATCCCGAAAAAGATGTTTTCACACAAGTTGAAATCGATACCCTTTCCAAGGTCATTAGCGATACCGTTGAATGGCAAAAGACCGAAGTACAGGCCCAAGATAAATTGAAGCGCTACGAAAATGTACGTCTTACCATTAAGGAAATTACCAATAAAATGTCCACACTGGATCGTGAAGTTAAGTACTTGGTAACCAAAATCAATCTATGGAAACCTAAGGTCAAGCCAACGAAAAAGGACAAGAAGAAGGCCAAGAAAGATGGTGAAGAAAAGAAGACGGAGGAAGGTGGAGAACAGGAGGAGGGCAGCAGCAGTGGTGATGGTGATGCCGAAAAGGTCACCACCGAACAATCTGGCGACGACACAAACAAGGAGGAACAAGTAGAGATACCAGTAACTGAAAAGAAAACTGAAGGGGAGGAAGAAGCAGAAGAAAAACAAGAAGTCCCCGTTGCAACACCCACAGAAGATCACACACCACGTTCAGATCTTTAAATAGGAAAAACAAAAGAATTTTATTAAAAAGAAAACAAAAAAATAAATAAATTGAAAGACTGTGGTATTTAAAACTTACATACATATATTAAACAAAAATCTTTGCTTATTTAAAGAAAATTCGAATAGTAATAGAGTTATAAAAGAAATACAAACAAATTATTAAGGCTATGTTAGACAAAAAGGAAGAAGAAGAAACCTTTTAGATGGAATTTACTATTCGAATATTCTTAAAAATAAGTAAACCAAGCCAATTCCTGCAAAACAAAGACAGATTGACCAAATGATAGAAACAAATAATGGTGGAATACCCAAAAAATTGTTATAAAACAAATTTTTACTGAGTTTCTGGCAAACGATTGTTGAACTTTTTTTTTTATAAAAAACAAGCTTCATTTGGTATTTTTTTGAAAAAATTTTATTCATTTTCTCTTCGTGCAAAAAAATCAGCGCAACAAACAATTTGAAACAAAGGTATTAAAGAAGTGAAAATCATAAAATTGTTTCTGTCTGTTATGATTTAAGTTTTTTAATTGTAATTAAAAAAGCAACATTTTGTAATACATAATTTATATAAATGATCTTTTTGTATTTTAGTATGAAACTCACCACAAAAAATAATAAAAAAAACAACCAACTACAAAAACCATTCCGTCATCACGAAACCTTACTCTCTCTACCTTTCTGTAATCAATTTTTGAAATTATATAAAGTCATCTAACAAAAAGAAATACATTTGCGGTTTACTAATTTAAATTCAAGTCAAAATCCATTTCAATAATCTCCTCAAAACAATATTGTAAAAATCCTGTTCATTAAATGCAACTTTCTAACCTTCATAGTCGATCATCAAAACTTGAAACAAATTCTAATAATGTAATTTAACATTTATTTAGACAGATTTCTTTTCTATTTATTATAAGTTTATTGATTAGTTAAAAAAACGAAAACATAAAACAAAAATACACTTAAATTAATAGAAAACAAAATAATATAAATAAATATCAATACATTAGACAACACAATTGTGGTGTTCTTTTTTTATTTATAGGATTTGTATCCCTCAAAATAGAAGATGGTATCAAAAGAAAAAAGCAGGTGGAAAGGTGCAAAAACTCAATCTAATTTATGGGGCAAATATATTAAGTAAAATTTGGCCTACAGATCTTATCATATGAAGAATATACAACACTTTTTCCTTCAGGTGTGTTAGCAAATTAAGTCTGACAAGACATTTTCAAAGGCCAAACATGTAAGAAAATCTGTAAAATCTATTCAAATTAGGAACAATTCTTACTGTAAACCAAAAACTGGGAAGATCAGAATTTGTATAAAAAATATAGACAAAAATTGGCCAAAAATTGCTGTAATAACTAGAGATCAAAAAATATTTATAAAAATGAACAGAAAACTAGAAAAAACTCAAAAGTTATAAATTCGAAAGACTTCGAGGAAGAAAACCAGTATGAGAGAAAATATTAATTTATAATGACATGTGTAATATCAAATTATCAACAACTTTAAGCAACCTAAGTAAATCAGCAAAATCTTAGATGTGTGTTATAGACTTATACTGGTAAACATACCCATGAATTAGCTTCGACTGACATGTTTTCCATAAAAACTACCAATTTTTAATTTCATTTATAATAGTTGCACATTATCAAGTTTAGAGCACACCGCTTTCACCATCCGCTTTATATATAGTATATATTTTATGAAACAATGGACCATAAGTGGGCAGGTAGCAAGAGAAGTTGTCCATCTTATGATTTAATGTAGGTTTGGTTTTTCATTAGTTTAAAACTAAATTTACTAGTTTTTTAATGTTTAACCTTTGTGGGAATGGACATGATTTAGACGATGTGCAAAGTTTAGAAACACTTAATTTTCTTGCTATTGGATTTATAAAATCTCGACACTTTGTTGGTCAGACGATGTTATTGTTTAGTCAAAATATTAAAAAAGTTTAGATGAAATCGAAAAGATATTGTTTGGTAGGTGCCACAAGGGATGGTACGATAAGTCCTATCTTCAGAGTTGATCTAGATATCAAAAATATTACTATCACCCATGTGACATGTTCCGAGAGTTTTTGAATTCCCATACTTTTTTTAAATTCCCATGAAAGTGCGGCTCGAAAGCATAGCTGTGTTCAATATGTTACGAAATGTGTTCAATAAAAAAACATATGTTTCATTGGAATTTGCAATTTGTTTAACAACAAAATTAAGAAAAAATATGCCTGCCCTGGTTTCTACCAGAAAAAGTCTAATGATACTGGAACGTGTTAAAATAAGCATTTATGGATATTTTGAGAGAAGTTGGTCCTTTCATACACAAGGTTACCATTCCCGAAAGCCTGCAGATAGCAGGTACCTTAAGATTCCTGGCTGTTGGTGGATTTCAGAGGGTAGTGGCAAATGATTTAAAAAATAAGTGTTGATCGCACAACAATGTGTAAAATATTGTGGAGAGTAATGAAAGTCCTGAAAGACAAAGTGTGTGTAAGCTGTGGACAGCTGCAGACCAGGAGAAGCCCTTTTTTATTTTCTTTAATTTTAGTATAAAAACTAATGTAAATACTGTATTTTTTTTAAATAAATATTGTAAAAACACGTTAAATATTACTTCAGCGTTCTTTTTCAACTTGTACGTGCTCAGAAAAACACGTACGATCTCATTTCGTTTTCAATCCACAAGGCTATATGTGCTCGAATTATATTCCCAATGTTTTTTTTGGGAATTCGGAATGGAGCACACCAAATTTGGGAAAATGTTTCACATTCGAGCAAACTCGAAATGCAGCACATGGGCGTATATGCGTAGTTTGGATCAAATTGTAATCAGAGTTAACGTGCAGTGGACATACATTTGAAAACTGACTCTAATTGTCTGAAAATGATTTGGTCCAGAGAACCAATATTTCGTTAAGGGATATTTTTGTTGTACCCAATGTTCCCAATTTGATATTGTTGTTTTTACACATTGTTCTGGGGTGACAAACTTTGGCCGAGTGAGACTCATGCTGCGTATAGATTTACAAAATCCACTCGATCTCAAATGCCAATTCCATAGATGTATGCGCTATCGAATTGACATTTGAGATCGAGTTGATTTAGCAGTCTAAAAACGATCTCAGGTCGTTTTGGATCGTAATTTGTGATTTTGTTTAGTCGGGACACCGGTGTACCCAATGATCAATAGAACTTGAAGCAATAGAAACAGAAAATGGGCAAGAGCTCTGTGGCCTTTTCCCATGTGATTTTGTTTAGTGTTGCGACCCGTTTACCCAAGGTACAAGACAAATTTAAACAATTTATCAAACAAGAATTTGAATGCGGATGAAGCTACTGCTATTGGTGGTGTCTACAAGACTGTGATTTGTCCACCGATTTTTAATGGAGGTAATTTATTGTCAAAAATGTTGTAATCTATCTGGTTGAAGTCACAATCAAACGTGATTCTGGAAAGGGTGCTGAAGTGTGACAAGTTAAATGTGTTTTGTTTGGCCTCATGAATTCATAATTCAAAAAGGAAACAGGTATATTCAAGATCAGAATGCATTTAATGTATATTTAGCTTCGCATTCCTTTTAAAATGACAATATAAATAGCAAATATAAGAAAGAATTTGAAATTTAGCGATAAAGCACTAAAACTGGTCATTTGGCGACTGTTCTGCTTCAGCAATGTAGGACGAACTATTACAAAATTCAAACAAGGCGAATGATTGTGCTCAGCGGTTTTTTGGCTGATCAATAATGGTTATTGATACAACACAATTTGTTCGTCCAAAGTTTTTGAAGAAATTCTATAAAAGCATTCCGCGTTTCATGTGGGCCGTCTATTGAATTTTTCTCTTCATCTTCAATTCAACAAATATGAACCCCTTGGTGATAATTTGCAAGAAAATCAGACGGACATATATATGGTAGCCTTTTCTAATTCGGTACACTTTGCAAATATTTTTTTTTTTTTTTTTTTTATATATTATTTTGGTTGGCCCACTTTCTATAGGGATAGAAGGTTTAGTGCCATGTATCCGTATGTAGCTTTGCTACGAATTTGACTTTATCCATAGATGGTGGTTTGTGTTTTGCAGGTTGACTTCGATTAAAATTTGACCACAATGTTCAGACTTTCTAAGCCTTGTGTATCAGTGAACTCTTCTACTGTGAAGGAGTCACATAGTAGCGAAAAGCATCTTCTTTTGCTATTAAATTTACGAAAATTAAAAATTTCATGCGCAGCTGTTTGGATTTTGTTGAACGACTCAATTTATAGGTTATCCGTATTTAAAAACACACGTGTTAGTTAAGCGAACGCTTAACAACCGCCATTTTGTAAAAATCTATTTTTAAGCCCGTGGGCGTGTAGTACTCATTTAAAATTTTTTTTACGTCTTTCTTGTGAGCCGTCCGAGGACGAACTGCTTTGCAAAATTGGATGTCAATCGAACAAACACAGGATATTTGGGCGAAAATATATAAAGGAAATATTTCAAAAGTTGAATCGATTCCAACAAAAGATAACACAGAATCAAAAACTAGCATTAAATAATTACATTTTATGAATAAAAACATTAAAATAAAAATAGGGAATGCGTACCTGTTGTCTGCACTTTTGTTCTTTCAATAAATAAAATTAATTGAATTTAAATTTTACACAAAGAGAGCTGAAAGGAGCATTGGTGCTCCTGTTCTTATTTCATAATTGTCCATATGATAAAAAAAATTTTCATTTAGATTCAATTCTATTTCACAACACTTTTCTCCACAAAAACACACAACTGACGTATACGCATATTTTATTTGTTTCACATGCAATTTGTACATATTTCGCTATTTTGTACATGATGTATATTCAATTTTTTATTATTTTCACAACAATTAATGCATTTTTCTTTACCGATCATTTTTAGTTGTTTCGTATGCAAGGGAAATGCAAAAGCTTTCGCGCTCGGTTCGGTTTTTGTTTGTTCGTTCATAATGACAAATGACAGTTCCGTTATAAAATGTTGGCGTTGCCAATACAATTTTGTTGCTCACCACAATGACGGCGTTGCGTTGAGACTCTTTATTAAAATTGCCAACTCCATTAAATATATGATTTTGTTGGTAATGGAACAAATTATTGCGGAATGGTAATCAAAATCCGTAGAATGCCAGAAATAGGATAGAGGAGTGGAACGCAATGAGACTAAAAGAAACAAATATTTTTTTCGGTAAACTAGATAAAGTTAATAATGGCACATAGGAACATGACATACCAAATTGGCATTGTTTAATGTCAAAGCTAAAATTTGACTATGAAGGGGAAACACATAAGATAATTTTCAGGCTTGGAATGTTAAGTTGGCTTTTTTATTGTAAAAGAATAAAGCAGAACGGCGTCCAAATTCAAGTTTGACTCCCATATTCCTTTATAAATTGACAATTCATACGAAGCCAACTTAACAGGGCAGGCCTGAATCCTCGTATGTGTCTCCCCCTTAAGATGGCTTCCGGCTTATCATGTTAATTTGGCTTCTTGTATTGTAAAAGAATAAAGAAGAACGGCGTCCAAAATAAAGTTTAATTCTGGCATTTCAAACGAATTTTTACTATGTTTTTCGATATCATAAAGGAAAAAAGCGTTATCGTGGTAAAAACTCGTAGATTCTTACAGTACAGTAACAGACCAAAAGCAAACTTAACAGACCAGACCTGAATCCTCGTATATTTTTCACAATTGATATTTTTGAATTCTATCATTTTATAACGAATAATATATTACTTACGCCATCCATTTCGTATAGGATGGATAGTCTACGGTATCTTGCTTGAAAAGTTATTTCATTGAATTGTTATTCTGAAGGCAAATAATTATAAGGATGTTGGGGCCTGCATGGAGGTCATTGTGTGGAGTAATTTATGGTTTATTAGTTTGCATTTCTTTAGTATAGTTTGCATCTATACTAAATTGGTTAGGTTGGGAACAGTCTAGAGAGCCTAGTTATTTTAGCCAATTCAGATTTTTTACAAAGCCTAGGACCTGCAAAAGAGACTAAAAACGGCTTACTCTCTGAACTAGGACATACTGAATAAATGTTACTGGAAAAGTAACCAGACACACCTATAATCACTTTTGTCTTGTAGCACCCTCAAAAAATTGTAATAGATGATTGATTATCTATATCGAAATTCAGTTCACATATCATAACATGTGAATCAGCCCAACTGCAAGAAACCATTCAAGTTGGCAACGCGTCACTGTATGATGTGCTGTCGCCGTTGACCACAATGATTCGGCTATACACTCTGTCACTTTCCTTTAAAATCGCCAGAAGCATCGGGTTTTATTCAATTACAAAAAAGCTAACAAATAATAATAAAATTTAGGTAAAACTTTAAGAAAAAATGCAATACCAACGAAAACGCGATAACCTACAAATATATCAAATAAAATAATTACAATAAGCATATAAATTGTTTGCGGAAAAACATTACGGAACTTTTCGCAAACAAGAAAAGGTTTTTCTATTGGCAAAAAACTTGTTCGCCATCCAGACTGTGGCTGCAGATTTCATTTCTTTGTGTTTGTGTGTGTGTGCGTGCGGGTACGAACGTCGGTTTCGTTGATTTCTTGGTACTGCCGTTGTTGTTGTTGCTGATGTTTTTGGTGTATTGTTGATGGTGGAGTACATGGATGATATTTGTGTTGTTGTTGCTGTTGTTGTTTTATTTTTGCTGTGTCGTATTCGTTGATATGAAAGCAAATGAAATCCGTCGTCGTCGTCATTCTTTATGTTGTGTTTTTCCCCCAGTGTTTTTTGTTATTATTAATTTTGTGTGTGTGTTCTTATAGAGGATTAAAGTTATTATTTTTTTATTTTATTAAATAGTGCAGTGATTTTTGTTGTTGTGATCAAATAATTTTCTTGCAAAAGTCCAAATTTACGGTACATATGTTGGCAATACTTTTTGTGCCTCCTCCTTCTTCCAATTGGAAAATAAAGTGTTGCAAAAACAATAACAACAACACAAATTCACGCTTAATAAAATTTTAACGAATTACAATTTATTCGACGACGTGACGCAGGTAGCGTACCTCCTCTCGCCATTGTTGTAGTGTAGTCGTCTCAGTTTCCTTTACGGAAGATCGATTGCAAAGGGAGACGACATACCAGCCAGTTAGCCATCGAATGTGACGAGGGCGACCCCAAAAAGTAAAGTTTGGGCTTGATGATGAGAGTTCTCCAACCAACGTGTGTGTGTGTAGTTGTGCTGCTCTGGTGTGTCCAAATAATCACGACTCACCTTTCCTTTTTGTGAGCCTCCCCCTCCGATAACACAGTGCTAAACAGCCAACTAAGCTTTTGTTGGCAATCACTTTGTTGTTCATTTCTTCTCCTGTGACAATTTAAACAATAACAAATTGAGGTATTATTTTTGTTGTTGTTGCTCTCTCTTGTGTGTGTGTGTGTGGTGCACCATTAAGACAAGGAATCATTTTGGATACACGCAGCAGCTGCGCAACGCAGCATCAAAGCAGAGACATCATCATTATCAACAATAACGACAACAACATCGTCATCATCACCATTATCGACGTTGTCATCCACGCAACAACAAAACGAAACATGACAAGACCTACGCGTTTAACAGTAAATCGCAATACACAGAGACATGATTGAACCATGTGAGAGTGAGACAGAGAGCGAGAGGAATAAAACCAAACAAACCAACAACAACAAATCAACTTAAAGAAAACAAAGTGCAAATGAAAACCAAACTCTTGACTTGACAACGTTCAAAGTAAACCAAAAATTCACAATAAATAAAAAAAGAAAGAAAAACGTATTATTATTGTCCACCTAACAAAGAATACTTTCATGAAACAAAAAACAAATAAAAAGAAGTGAAAAAGAAACAAAAAATAAAATGATGAAACATTTGTTTCATGCTAAATTTGTTGCCTTTGTGTGTATGATGACAAAGTAATGTCAGTGATGGAATGAAGACAAAAAAGAATCAGAAGTTGCCATCAAAACTTTTACTACCTACCACAATTTAAAATAGTGTTAAAATTAAAAAAGTTTTAGAAAAAAATATTAAATGTAATTTTTATTTTATTCTGCATCTCTAGGCATCCCCATCCTTACGTATAATTTTTTTTGTCTCGCAATTGCGACGAAGAAAAACAAAAACAACAACTAGGTGATAATACGCGCGCGCCTTTTATTTTTGTAGTGCGTTAAAACGCGCGCGTGTGCGATTTTTTGATAGCAGCAGTCGAGTCGCATCGTTCGTCGTTGCTCCTCTTGAAAGACACACACAATGGCGTGTCTCAATACCCTAAAGCTGGAAATAAAAACATTGGAGAAAATCTTCACAAAGAATCACGAACGTTTTCAAATACTTAATTCCAGTGTTGATGAGTTGACATGTCGTTTCATTGGCAAGAGTGGCAAACGTTATGACATTCATGCAAATATCACGGTAAGTTTTTGGAATGTAACAGCTGTTTGTATGCATTTTTTTGTTATTATTTTTTGTGTATTTTAAGGGCCCCATACACTATAAATCATACCGTCATGCCGATGAACCCCTTTTTATATATGTTAGATTGACTAGTGTATGGCAAACTCTTCAATCACTATTCCAAAAAATCGATTTTTGTCCCAAAAATTGCAATTTGAGTCGTAAATTCAGTTGTTTTTTTATTCCGTCAGAATTTTATTATTATTGTACACAAAATTATGTATTGACAACTTTCATTGTGTGTGTCACACATACATAAATAAACTTTCAAAAAATAACACATACTATGATAAATGCTGTACGGCATGATGTATAGTGTATGGGGCCCTTATATACATCATGTGGATCAAAAAATTGTTCAAAACCTAGGTTTATGGATTTTTAGACTTAAGTCAAATTTAAGGAACGGTCTAATCGTTTTGAAATTCAAATAGCAATAGAAGCCCTGATTACAACGAAATATTTTTTGCGCCAAGTCCATAGATTTTTAGATATGAGCCTATAAATTTTTTTTCTGGGGGAACGGTTATATGGGTACCATTTTTTGAAGCTTATGAAAATACCTTTTCATTGAGTGGGGAAATGTGGCTTATGACAGAACGGTTGTTCCATATCCCATCCAATTTGAAAGACCATTTTCCGAGATGTTGTCCTCTACTTGATCTCTCCATCGGATTCGTGGCCTCCCCCTTTTGCTTGAACCATCACTTGGCTCGCTTTTATATGCCTTTTGAGCTGGGGCATCTTCATTCATTCTCACAAGATGTCCTAGCCAACGTAGTCGCTGCAGCTCGATCCGTTTTACTATGTCGATGCCCGTGAATAGATGGTATAGTTCATGGTTGATTCGACGGATTCGGAGAATTTTTCTCTTAAACATTCCCAGAGCTGCCTCATCTACTTGCGCAAGTACCCATGCTTCAGATCCATACAACAGCACGGATAATATCAGCGTCTTGTAGAGTGTGAGTTTGGACTGGCGAGAGGTGGCCTTGCTTTTGAGTTTCTTACTCAGACCATAGTAGCGTCAGTTGGCCCAACTATTCTCCTCCGGATTTCAAAGCTGATATTATTAGTTTTGTTTATGGCGGTACCGAGGTATATAAAATCGTTCACTATCTCGAAGATGTAGTTTTCAATTTCCACAGTTGGTCCGAGTCTACCGGACATCTTGCGCGTTGATACCATCAGCTTGATCTTTTCGCCATTTGCCAGTCCCACTTTGGCAGTGTTCGACCCATTATGTCGATGTCGTCGGCGTAGGCGAGTAACATATGCTGTTTGGTGTACAAGTGTAATTTCTGTTCACATTTGCATCTCGCATCTCTCTTTTCAGCAGGATGTTAACCAGGTCACGCGACAAACTGTCATCTTGTCTGAATCCAAGTTCGGTATTGAAGGGCTCAGAGAGGGCCTTTTCTACTTTAACTGCTGACATTGTACGAGTTAAAGTTATCCTGCATAGTCATATAAATTTTGCATGAATGCCGAACGCAGACATGTCTTAAAACATCTCAGAATGAATGGGGCTGTCAAATGCGTGTTTTTCGTAAGTCTTTTCCAGGATCTGGCGCATTGTGCAAAATATGGACAATGGTGGATTTGCCAGGCCTGAAGCCGCATTGGAATGGTCCAAAATGTCATTGGGAAAGAGACTTATTCATCTAAAGTTGGCACATATCGTCTTGTCTACTTTTTTGTGTACGGGACATAGGTTGCTGAGGTTCCAATCATTGGACATGCATTCCTCTAGCCAAATTGCACAAATAAGCTAGTGCATGCTCCTGACCAGCATCTGACCACCGGTCTTGAATAGTTCGGCTGGTAATCCATCGGCACCTTCTGCTTTATTATTCTTCAGCCGATTGATTGCTATTCTGACTACATCTTGGCTAGGTGGTATACACACTACACCAGAAGCTTTTCAAAATGCTCCTTCCAGATCCTTCCAGATCCCAGGTTTCCATTTTCATCTCTACAGGAGGATGTGCCTGCGCCAAAGCCTTCGGTTTGGTGTTTTACTCGTTGGTAAAATTTCCGGACTTCATTCTGACTCCTGTACATCTCGATTTGCTCCCGCTCACGTTTTTCTTGTTCTTTCTTCTTTTTCCCGAAAATGCGACAATTTTCCATCGCATTACGGGTTGCTTCTGTCTGCTGTGTTGCGTTGCGTTTTTCGCATCAGTAGCATTACGACACTACTGATTGCAAATCCTTCTACCAAAAATGATCAATATCGGTACATTTTTATAGCCATATAACGGTACACCAATTATTCGGTATTTTGGGGAGTTTTGGCAAGTTTTTCATTTAAATTGGGTTTAATTGAGTATTCTGAATCCTCATTCTCATAGCAAATCTTTGTACCAAATCAATATTGGTTCATTTTTTAACTGTACCCCCCATATTTCGTTTTTTTTTTAGGGGAATTTTGGCCCCTTTTTTATTTGGGATAGCCCTCATATAACTTTATCCACACTTTTCAGTTTTTTTGTGGCATTTTTTAAGTGATTTACTTCTATGTTGATTGATTTACTATTCATATCTGAAGTTTTATAGATTCTGGAATGCATGTTTGATGATGATTCCGAGAATGCTTACAATTTGTCAACCAATTTCTGCTATTTTCGAAAATGCATTCCATTGTTGCATTCCTGAACATTTCGTACATTTAAATAGAATTCGCTGAAAAACAGTTTGGTATACGAAAAAATAAATATGGAGAAATAAAATTAAATTTATTTGTACGGATAGCATTGAGGTTATGGGGTTATTGGAAAGAATGAAATTTGTATCATAGTCTAATAAATTTCTCTATTTGGACATTTTATATTTTTCTTCAAGGACATTTCTTATGCCTAATAATATAAAATTTGAGTTATCTAATATTTCTGTGTGTTTTACAAATATTTCATTTATCATGCAAAATCCAATTTCTTAATTACAGTGTGGATTTTTAAATAAAACAAATAACTCGATTCTATTTACATTACTTTTGTTGCGGTTTAATGTAATTCACTTTTTTGCATTGCTTTTACTATTTTCATAATGGATATCGTGTTACATTAATTGGCATTTTCATTAGTATGTAAATTAAGTACACACCATTCACAAAAAATATAAAAAATGGAAAACTACTGTTGTTTTAATTTTCACTACAATTGTATTGGCGATAACAAAAAACAAAACATTGTGGTTATTATTACTAATTGCAGCGATTTCGAATGTTTTAGAAATATTTGTTTGCTGCTATTTTCACTTATAATTCAATCATTATGACGAAAAAAATGTATATAAATTTCTTATCTTGCGGTCATATATCGCCCGAAAATAAATAATTGATGACATCGACTGCTATCTAAAATAAACTGAAGAAATCCGGATGGGATAGTTCGAAATCACTAAAAAATTGTGCAGTTATAAATATTGCAACTATGAGTTTTTAAAAATCTGCTATCTCATAATCTTTATGATTTATGGTCCGCGATTTAATTACCTTAAAGGCCACCTGACAATCGATAGGTATAGTAATAGGTCTTGAAATGTACATCCGCAAGATAAATCAGTAAGCAATGCAGTAATGATGGTATCTCCGGACCTGTTAAACCTGAGCCTTTCCGGTATTCTACGTCCACCTGGTGGCATTGAGACCATAACTTATGCGAATGGTTGTACAATCAAGGTCGGAAGGCATTTATATAGGAGTTTTTAGAAAGTTAACGGTATCATGGGCATCGGGGATGTAGCTAACCTTGAATGTAAACAATACATATTTGAAAATTACCAGACGTCTGCTCATGTCGCGGTAATAAGAACAAGGCTTTCAAGTTCTAGTGACGACTTAGGGAGCAAATAAACACAACTTATTGGCAACTTATAAAGAAATAGGCTGACCTATTTTTTTATCTGTTTATTTAAATGCTACGAAATGGAAAATCACTCAATTATATTTTATCGAAATGCTACCCTGATAATTGCAAAGGGTAGTTCCTCATTACTTTGATATATCACGTTCATGAATTGTCGAATACCTTTCCTTTCTCAGCGTGAACACTTCGGTGTAAAAAAATCAGTCGTCCTAGTCCACCTAATCTCCAACCACATTGGCATGTTAGGGAAGTGATAAATGACAGATACTTAAGATCAAGTAGGTTTGAATTGTATTCAGACTGACGGAGTTGAGGAAGTAATTCAGGAATACAGTAGTGAATAAAAATTTTGGAGATCATCCGCAATCGACAGCAAAATAAGACGTTGTATTGGATGCATATAGAAGTTAGAAACAAAATACGACCGATTGGACATAGCTGATATTGTCATCCATGGTGTTTAACTTCTCACAGAACTAAATTTCAAGCCATTGGAGCACAGAGCTTCCACAATCCAACGCTATCTTACTCGTCATTTTGTAGTAAGTAAATTATTGGTCTGCTGTATCCTATCCTAGTAGTTTGGGCTGCCATCTGTTGTTGCCTAGAAACAATGTTCTCTTGAATATATTTGTAGTGGTTATGGTCCTTGCTTATTAATTGCTGCCATTTTAATCTTGGTGGCGCTTTTTCCTGGCATTCCTATTTTGTTTTATCTTCATAGATCGGTTATTTGAATGTCTTGGAACCTCGGATGCATTGTTGACATCTGGGCGCTTCAACAGCAACGGGTTTAGTTATAGTCCTTGTCATGGTGTCACGAAAGGTCTAAGAGTGTACTTTCAGAATATGTGGACCATATAGGCAAAAAAAATTTCGGAGATGGGAATTTTCAAACATTTTCAGAAAATCGGAAAAATTCCCATCTCCGAAATTCTTTTTGCCTATATGGTCCACATATTCTGAAAGTACACTCTTAGACCTTTCGTTTGAGCCCCCCCTCAACCCCGAACCCTTCTTCATTTTTTTACTGTGGCCCATTTTATCGGAAATTTTCCTAAAGTGACCCTAAACATTTTCAGAAAATCG